ATAAAATTGCTGAATTTAAGTTGCATCAAAATAAATTACCAAGGAAAATACAGAAAGCGGTAAATGTACTCAGTGAGCAAGGAAATCCAGATTGCCAGAAGCTTCATGGTGTTCGTCGTTTCTCCGGTAGACTTTTCACTACTGATCCTGTTCTCTGCCAATTTCTGCTCCCCTGTTCCTTCCTCCTTTGCTCTATTTATAGGGCATCCTTCAAGCCTTCCGAGAGCAGTTAACGCGACTGCTACCACGTTCTACGTGTGTATGGCAGTTTATCTTCTGTAGTTTCCCACATTCTCACGATCTCTGACTTTTCCCATGATTTCAAAACTGCTCTTTATACGTGCATTCGACTTACTTCCTTTCACGATTTGGCCAAAGTCTCGATGTCCATATTGGCTTTCTTTTCTCTCGATTCTGTGTTTTTCGAGAACTTCGAATTGCTTACGATTCCTTTTTAACCCTGGTCTTAGTTTTTATTCGACAACAGTCATTTGATTATAATTCATTCGATTCTCAATTATGCTTCTCGATGCTATGTGCTACGTATTTCTAATTAGACATCGAATGAATTTTTGTTTATCTTATCGAGTCACATTTCTTTCCTTCGATTTCGATCGCTTTTCTCGATTTGTCACTAACAACTACATAAACCGTTATTGATTTTTTTTTAAATTTATTCATATCTATAATTAAAATCATGTTCACCTCTTATAATTCTAATTAACTAATGATGTAAATTTGATTAATTCTTTTATTTCTTTTTCAAAATTAAATACTTTTTCAACACAAACTACTATTTTATTAAAAATATACATAACTTCAATGCGAGTTATATATTATATCATACTTATCCCATATTTTATAAAATAATTTCTATGTCATAAAAATAAGATTTAAGAAATGGTCTTCCTTTTGTTGAATGATTTGATGTTTTTCTCTACTTATGTCGTGGATACTTTTTTTTTCTTTTATTGGTTGAATTTAAATATTTGAAGTACTTCTATGTATGACTTGCAATTTGAGTTGGAGTTTTTGTTTTCATCACATTTCTTGAAATATTTATCCATGTCCATATTTTTCAAATCCAATCAACAATAATATTTGAAGAAGAAAAGTTTTAAAAAGTATTTTTTTTATTTCTTAAGTAAATATATTACCTATGTTCATCTTCACTCCATCTTTTATAACAAGATGATCCTTAGATATTAGTTTGAATGTGTGACAACTTCATCTTTATTGATGATAAAAGTGGAGTTTGAATTTTAATATTTTCTTTGAAACGATTTTCATTAATCAATTATTTTCTTTGAAACGATTTTCATTAATCAATTATTAACATTAAAAAAATATTATATGTAGCTATCTTAATATTATTTCTTCCTAGATAATGAGATTTTTTTCTACAGTCACTTCACTTATACAACAAGTATCAGATAAATAATAAATTTAACAATAAATTATCAGATAATTAATTTTAGAATTAGATTTTATTTTGAATTTCAAATGTAAAAATATAAAATATTAATAGATGTAAAGATTTAGTTTAAAATATATTTTTTCAATAAATTATATCTTCCAAATTCGAATTTATTTTTTAAAAAATAGGATCGTAGATTAAATTCGTTAAACAGTTAAAAAATTGTTAAAAACCAAGTGATTGTAGAACTGGGGTAGATTTAATACCTGTTTTAAAAATAAAATAATAATTAATAAATCTCAAATAGACAGCTGTATCAAATAAAAAATAAAATATGATGAAAAATAAATTAAAATTTAATATATTAGCATCTTGCACCTATATCTCATCATAGCTACAGATAATCATTCTTTTAATCAATTTGATTTTTTTTCTATCTCATAAAATTAAAATTATACTTGTATAAAAATAACTAAAATTATATTTGTATAAAAATAACTAAAATTATATTTGTAAAAAAATAACTCGTATTACTTATATCTTATATCATAATATTTTGTGTTAGTTTTAACCATACACGATATGTTTATTTATATAACTCCAATATATAAATAATATCTTTAATATAAAAATAATATTTTATTTAAATTCATAATAAAAATATATTTTGAATGTAATTTATAATGAACAATTTATATTGAAATACTTTGTTATTTTTTAGTATAATAATTTTAAAATTTTAAATTGAATGAGATTAAAAAAAATTAGAGAATAGTAACACCTCAAAATTATCTTGAAATTTTTTACAAATATAATATATTAAATTATAATATTTTTTGTAAATTATATATATTTTTTAAAAGACTTATATAAAATATTTAAATTATTATAAAAAATTATTAAAAAGTTAAATAATAATAATAATAATAATAATAATAATTATTATTATTATTATTATTATTAAAAAATAAGATAGTTTATCTCTTAGAAGAAGAAATCAGCATGCCTTTGAAAAAAAAATCTAATTTATAATTAACGTAAGAATTAAAATAAATAAAAAGTAAAATAAAATTTTGGGGGACGAGTGAGTGGTAGAAAATTGGGAAGAAGAGAAAAAAAAATTGTAAATAATTTTGGGGGACGAGTAAAATAAACACTTTTTTTTCTCCGTGCCTAATTAGAGGAGTATACGTGTTTCTTTTAATAGATTTAAGATCATTATAACATCAAATTAGAGTAAAGATAAAAAAACAACTAAAAAATATTTTTATCCATTTTTAGATTATATAATTATTTTTCACAAAATATTTTTATTTATTTTAAAACTTTTAAAGATCATGGAACATCTGAAAAATTATCTTCAAATTTTACAAATATAATATGTTAAATTATAATATTTTTAGGTAATTTAAATATTTTTTAAAGATTCATAAAAAATAATTTAAATTATTATAAAAATTATTAAAAAAGTTAAATAATAATAACAAAAATAATTACAATTTTGTGTTTGGGGGGAAAAACTTTTGATTAAGATTCTAGACTCTATTATTAAAGCCTTCATTATGTGTTGCCTTTTTTTAATGATGAATTTGATATCTATTTATGTATATTCCAGTTAATTCCTCACATTAATTTTTTGATTAGGATGACTTTTTGGTAGATTTACAATGAAAGGGATAAGGTTAGTATGGAAAAGATTTTGGACAAAATATTTGAAGAGAATATTGAGCTGGAAAATAAAAAGTCTTTGAAGCAACTTCAGGGAGACCATATCAAGTCATTATCATACTTCTCATGGGTCATAGGAAAATTATATTAGGTTGACACTTTGAAAATCATACTACGTAAGTCAACCATGGAAGATAAGATGAAGTTGACATTTTTGGAAATCGATCAAGTTGGTCATAAGGAGATAATTTCATATTGTAAATTTGGAGATCATATCAAGTCAATATTTTGCAAACCATATTGATATGGTCATAGAGACCATATTAGGCTACCATTTTAGAGACCATATTGATTAAGTTGAGCACAACTTGCAATTGTTGCAAAGTTGAGACATCTTCCTCCCAATTATGTTCGAAAGTTTTGCACATAATCTCTCATCACTCGTGTTTAATCACTTATGTTTTATAAAGTAAGAACAATTTCACTTATCCCATGATGAACATCAATATATTGGTTGGGGTTCTAGACTCTACTATTGGAGTTTTCATTGTTTGTTGTCTTTTTTTATTTTTTATGATGAATATTTTTTCTATTAACTCTCCACATTGATTATAGTGTCAGGTGTCAGGTAGCCACTCCACTTGTTTAGTCGTGACCGAGTGCTTGATAACTTCTTTTAGTTGCAAACATAGTTTATTGTCAATTGATGATTGTGGATTTTAGTTGTAGAGTCTTATAGGTCATATTTTACTTAAAACATTGAGATTGATCTCATATTGATTGATTAGAGAGATTGGTCTTTAGACTAGCGATGTAATAAAATAATTCCTCAAACTTAAAGCGAAAATTAAGAGTCTAAAAGAATAAAGTTGATCTTTTGATGAATCAAAATAATAACACAAATATAATCATTTTATTATTATATAATAATAATAATATTTAAAACTAATTTCTTGTGAACACATCATTTTCTATAATATTAAAACAAAATATAAAGAAGTAATATAAAAGGATTTTGCAATACTATCTTAAACTCTTAAATCAGTTGTCCAGAGCTACAAATTGGTGGTAACAAGCTGGAACCACTGGCTTTGAGGATCATCAAGACATAGAGAATCATTTTCTATGCAGATACATTTTGAAGTGACAATGGTGGATGAGTCAGAATCCTTCTGCAAGCAAAGTTGTTCCTCATGCTGAGTCATAGTAGCCAAGTGAAGTTTAGACAGGTGATGCAGATTTCCAAGAACTGTTCTTGCTTTCACAATCGAAACTACAACCGAAGCCCTTCACCGATTGCTCGTTATGCACTTCTTAGTGCCATGCAAAAGGATTTCGGTCCCATTCCCTCCATGAACCCATCTGTTATTGGTCTGACAGCTACCAAGTTCAACTTCACTCTTCTCATTCACTTGACCACATTCACCGGATAATGGGTGGTACAAGATATTTACAATGGGGGCCTTGGAGAGAGGTTCTACATAAAAACACACAAGTTATGTTATTGCAAAAATAATTCATATTCATGGTTATGAATGTAATAATGCATCATCACCAAACTCATTCGTTTAACTCAAAAGCCATACCTAGATTCTTCCTTTGCAAAAGTTGGAACTTGCGAGTGAAGTTGGGATCTCTCAAGTGGTGCCAAGTCTCATCCATTATACCAAATGACTCCTCAACTTGGACCGTGTCACTCTTTAAATAGTAGCTACCTTGAAAAGCCCACAAACCCCAGTCCAAATCTTTCCCAACAAGATAAGTTTGAAGGCATGTCAAGAACCTGTTGTCCTCCACCGAAGAACCTACCTCGTTAAACCCAAACTCCGTAAAAATCAAAGGAACCGCATTCTTGCCAGTTGTGAGGAATCCAGCTCGTCCTCTATCCCTTTAATGTTATCGGCACATATCCTATTCACTCGGTTGCTTTGTCCATATCTCTCTCAATTTCAGTTGTTCCAATTCCGGACCATGAATACAAATGTGTCTCAAACACCATTTTCTTACCCAAATCTATCTTCAATGGTTTACTCTTTAAGAACTGCAACTCGAGTATCATAATTCAATCCGGAAATAACCACAAGCACATTTGGGTTTGTCTTGTGTATAGACACTGCTCGCTTTGCTCATGTACACTGTACCGAGTCATACAAATTTTGGCGTGGACCATGCAATTCATTCCTCAAGCTCATTGCTACAATCTGTTACAACATACACAAAATAATACTTTATATCCATTATCTTATTTAAAAGGCTAAGCAAACTATAATATAGATTGTTTGAGCAAAAGAGAAAAATACATACAACATGGTTTCCATTGAAGTGTTTGGCTACCAGAGTAAGGCCATACACCCATTCTTGAGGATTAAAATGTCTATCATGGAAGAAACCGTTCTCATCATCATCATTACAACACCACTTTGGCTCACTCACATGGTTATCAAGTAACACTTTCACATTCTGAATCCCAAGTTCATGAACAACAGAATCAAAGACCTGAACATGTGTCATGGATAACACAAAGGGTTGTTCTTGGCAATGCCTTGGACCACACCTGGTACATCCAAAGAGGTAAACGTGGCATTGACATTGTCGTGGACATAACGTGTCCACATGTAGATTGCGTAGGTGAGACGCACACAGTTAAACTTGTGCTCCACAATCTCATCAATGATATCCTTCAAGGGCCTTTTGTCAAGACCCTCAGGAATCATTGGTTGGAGGTGGCCAGCCCAATTGGCACATGCCAACTGCGCACGTTGTCCTGTGCCTTCATCTATGATCCATCTCTTTTGCGTGGATAAAGGATATGCATTCGAATGTGATGCGGAGATGAATACAAAAAGAACAAGGAAGAGTACAAGAACTGAAGGTATTCTCAACATTTTTTTAAATGAATTAAAATTAACTTTTCAACTTGGAGAAGAAACCATGCAAATATATAGAATTTTCTGCGGTAACAATTTTAACAAAATCTAATCATTAATAGATTCCACTCTTTCTATATTAACAAATCTTTGCTGTAACTGAGTAACTTCTTTGTATTTTTATCATATGCTTGTTTTCTATTTAACAAAAAATAAATTATTTGTTGACGAGACCTTCAAAAGAAACAACCTTTCAACATCTTTAATTATTAGTATAATATTAATAAATTATTAAATATTTATATTTATTATTATAATTATATTATTAAATGGAAGATATTGGGATAATGTTTTGAATGTATTGAAATATCATTCCTCCTAAAAAATATTTTACATATAAGCAACAATATTTTGTTTGTTAAGCATAATATATAAATTAATTAAAATTTATATAGAATAAACATCTAAAATTTAATAAGTTAACTAATGATTAGGATGACAACTAAACTTATAGTTGCGAGGATCGATCCATCCCCGTCCCAAGTTTGATGGAAAAAATCGATCAAAAACGGATTCAGGTTTTTTTCGCTTTAAAACAATCAGAAACACATACAAAGATGGATAAATAATGTCGAAATTATAATAAATAAACATAGATTCTAATAATACTAACTTCATCCTAATTCAAGTTATATTATATGCTTTGGAAATTTCTATACATATTTCCATAAAATTTAATATTCACAAATAATGCTAACAATTACACCAATTCGTCATTGAAGTAATTACCATATCTATTGAGTTTTTGAGTTTTCACTGATTTCATCATTAATTAATGATCACTAATTCATCATCAATTTGGTTAGTAAGAACAATATATTACTTGTCCCATGATGAACGTCAATATTCTGACAAAAAAGTATTGGTTGGGGTTCTAGACTCTACTATTAGAGTTTTCATTGTTTGTTGTCATTTTTTTTTTTTATGATGAATATTTTTTCTATTAACTCTCCACATTGATTATAGTGTCAGGTGTTAGGTAGCCACTCCACTTGTTTGGTCGTGACCGAGTGCTTGATAACTTCTTTTAGTTGCAAACATAGTTTATTGTCAATTGATGATTGTGGATTTTAGTTGTAGAGTCTTATAGGTCATATTTTACTTAAAACATTGAGATTGATCTCATATTGATTGATTAGAGAGATTGGTCTTTATACTAGCGATGTAATAAAATAATTCCTCAAACTTAAAGCGAAAATTAAGAGTCTAAAAGAATAAAGTTGATCTTTTGATGAATGAAAATAACAACACGAGATATAATCATTTTATTATTATATAATAATAATAATAATATTTAAAACTAATTGCTTGTGAACACATCATTTTCTATAATATTAAAACAAAATATAAAGAAGTAATATAAAAGGATTTTGCAATACTATCTTAAACTCTTAAACCAGCTTGTCCGAGCTACAAATTGGTGGTAACAAGCCGGAACCACCGGCTTTGAGGATCATCAAGACATAGAGAATCATTTTCTATGCAGATACATTTTGAAGTGACAATGGTGGATGAGTCGGAATCCTTCGCAAGCAAAGTTGTTCCTCATGCTCGAGTCATAGTAGCCAAGTGAAGTTTAGACAGTGATACAGATTTCCAAGAACTGTTCTTGCTTTCACAATCAGAAACTATAACCGGAAGCCCTTAACCGATTGCTGTTAAGCACTTCTTAGTGCCATGCAAAAGGATTTCAATCCCATTCCCTCCATGAACCCATCTGTTCTTGGTCTGACAGCTACCAAGTTCAACTTCACTCTTCTCATTCACTTGACCACATTCACCGGATAATGGGTGGTACAAGATATTTACAATGGGGGCCTTGGAGAGAGGTTCTACATAAAAACACACAAGTTATGTTATTGCAAAAATAATTCATATTCATGGTTATGAATGTAATAATGCATCATCACCAAACTCATTCGTTTAACTCAAAAGCCATACCTAGATTCTTCCTTTGCAAAAGTTGGAACTTGCGAGTGAAGTTGGGATCTCTCAAGTGGTGCCAAGTCTCATCCATTATACCAAATGACTCCTCAACTTGGACCGTGTCACTCTTTAAATAGTAGCTACCTTGAAAAGCCCACAAACCCCAGTCCAAATCTTTCCCAACAAGATAAGTTTGAAGGCATGTCAAGAACCTGTTGTCCTCCACTGAAGAACCTACCTCGTTAAACCCAAACTCTGTAAAAATCAAAGGAACTGCATTCTTGCCAGTTGTGAGGAATCCAACTCTGTCCTCTATCCCTTTAATGTTATCGGCACATATCCTATTCACTGGTTGCTTTGTCCATATCTCTCTCAATTTCAGTGTTCCAATTCCAGACCATGAATACAAATGTGTCTCAAACACCATTTTCTTACCCAAATCTATCTTCAATGGTTTACTCTTTAAGAACTGCAACTCAGTATCATAATTCAATCCGAAAATAACCACAAGCACATTTAGGTTTGTCTTGTGTATAGACACTGCTGCTTTGCTCATGTACCTGTACCAGTCATACAAATTTTGGCATGGACCATGCAATTCATTCCTCAAGCTCATTGCTACAATCTGTTACAACATACACAAAATAATACTTTATATCCATTATCTTATTTAAAAGGCTAAGCAAACTATAATATAGATTGTTTGAGCAAAAGAGAAAAATACATACAACATGGTTTCCATTGAAGTGTTTGGCTGCCAGAGTAAGGCCATACACCCATTCTTGAGGATTAAAATGTCTATCATGGAAGAAACCGTTCTCATCATCGTCATTACAACACCACTTTGGCTCACTCACGTGGTTATCAAGTAACACTTTCACATTCTGAATCCCAAGTTCACGAACAACAGAATCAAAGACCTGAACATGTGTCATGGATAACACAAAGGGTTGTTCTTGGCAATGCCTTGGACCACACCTGGTACATCCAAAGAGGTAAACGTGGCATTGACATTGTCGTGGACATAACGTGTCCACATGTAGATTGCGTAGGTGAGACGCACACAGTTAAACTTGTGCTCCACAATCTCACCAATGATATCCTTCAAGGGCCTTTTGTCAAGACCCTCAGGAATCATTGGTTGGAGGTGGCCAGCCCAATTGGCACATGCCAACTTCGCACGTTGTCCTGTGCCTTCATCTATGATCCATCTCTTTTGCGTGGATAAAGGATATGCATTCGAATGTGATGCAGAGATGAATACAAAAAGAACAAGGAAGAGTACAAGAACTGAAGGTATTCTCAACATTTTTTTAAATGAATTAAAATTAACTTTTCAACTTGGAGAAGAAACCATGCAAATATATAGAATTTTCTGCGGTAACAATTTTAACAAAATCTAATCATTAATAGATTCCTCTCTTTCTATATTAACAAATCTTTGCTGTAACTGAGTAACTTCTTTGTATTTTTTGTTGGAAAAATTTGGGTCATGTATATATATGATACATAATTTAAATGTGTTAAGGCCATTATTTATTAAGCCAAATAATAAAGTGATCTGACTAAATTAAAGTTTTGGCTAAAAGCATATGTCATGAAAATAAAATTGTGTAGAGACCATAGAGCAATTTCTAATTTGATGAGGGGCCAAATTGGAAATACTAAAACTTAAGTAATTAACCTAATTCTGGTTATCTAAAGGGTCATGGTCCCCTTCTGAGAGCACACACACAGAACGTAAGTATCAGTCCCGTTCCTTTCTTTCTATCCCCATCAAGAGAGAAAATCAAGAGGGAAATACAGGTGCTCTTCAGGTGGAAGACCATAAGATCAATATAGTGTTCTACAAAGACATCATCGTTATGGCTAATTCAGGTACGCTTTCGCATTCAGGTACGCTTTTGCATTCAGTTTACAACATGTTTATCAGTATGGGATTATGTTTATGTTTGATCGTTAGAATCAAAATCAGGATTATTATTATTATTATTATTATTGTTTTTCCAACAATTGGTATCAGAGCCGCCCATATTTGATTCATGTCTGTTTAATTTATAGAACCCTAATTATGAAAATTAGGATTAATTTTGTTTTAAACAATTCAGATTACCCAATTTTATGAACCCTAAGTGGAGGATAATCTCTAATTTTTGTGAACCCTAAAATTTAAATTTGGGGGTAACATCCCCAATCTGATTCTGCTTGCTGATGGAACCGTGGAGGAAGCTATGGATTCTTCTTCTTCTTCGTTTTTCACTTTTGTTTCAGTTTAAGTTTCAAGTTTTACTGAGAAAGAAACAGTGTTTCATATTTCAATTTTTCTTGTATTGGGTTCTCTGTTCTTTTTTGAATCTTTTGTTTTTATTTAATTTTATGGGTTTGGAATTGGGGGTGGTGTTTGTGGAGTTCCCAATACAGAGAATCTTAGGTAAATGATGAATGTTTCCACATGTTTGGCTGTTATTATTTTATTGCCTCTATCCCCTAGGAATTTAAAGAAAATTTGATGTTAAATTAGGGTCTGAGTGATTACTGTTTAATTCCCTTTTAGGGTTTAGAGCAGTATGCTAAAGAGACTCGGAACTATCTCTCGTTTCATCCCTAGTGTGATTTTAGGAAGATGTTCATCCTTTAGGTATTGGTGGAAAATGAGGCCTTTTTTCATCCTTTGATTTGTTCGGATGAGGTGTTCATCCCTAATGAGATTCTAGGGAGGTGTTCATCCTTAGTAGAATTATAATGAGGTGATTCTCTTTTGAATTAGTTTGCAAATATTAAATATTTGGTTTTGTTATATAAATAAAATATTCAATTTTTGGTAGTTTAATATTTTTTGTGAGCAAATTAAGTCAAGAAGTCACCAATGTAACTTCTCTTGAATTGGGCAGTTCATGAAAAATATTGAATGTTAGTGTTTGTGTATATTCATGCGAGTATTAGTCGGCCCAAAGGAAGATTAATATTTGGTCGAATTGCATACACACTTGTAATGATAAACATGTGATAATTATAAGGATTTGCTTTGTCGATGATAAATCAATCCAAAGACTGGTTTGTTGTTGGACGTGCTTTATTGTCAATGTTTGATTATTACAACAAGATACCTCTAGCGAGTTAATATTACTCGTCCAAAGACTTGATATTGATGGTGCATTGGGTATCTTGAGATGGGTTAAACCACTATTTGAATATATATTATTTATTTTTTATATAATGTGAGCATAATTAGTTTATTTCTCGTGTTCTAAATTCAGCTACAATCGCTTACGTATTCGCCAATTTAAATTCCGTTCCGGTCCTCAATGGAACAAATTTTAAGGACTTGGAAAGAGAACATTGATATTGTTCTTGGTTGCATGGATATGGATTTTGCGTTAAGGACTGAGCAAACCCCTACTCTTACGGATTCAAGTACCTCCGAACGAGAAAGAGATTATGAGAAGTGGGATCGCTCAAATCGCATGAGTCTAATGATCATTAAGCGTGGCATCCCGGAGGTGTTTAGGGGCACTGTTTACGAAAACATCACAAGTGCCAAAGAATTCCTTGCTGAAATTGAGCAGCGCTTTGCAAAAAGCGATAAGGCGGAGACAAGCACTCTTCTTCGAACTTGATCTCCATGAAATATCAAGGCAAAGGAAATATCGGGGAATACATTATGAGCATGTCTAATATTTTTTTAAACTCAAGGCACTAAAGCTTGAACTCTCGGAAGACTTGCTCATTCATTTGGTGTTGATTTCTCTTCTTGCAACGTTTAATCAATTTAAGGTATCTTACAACTGTCAGAAGGATAAATGGTCTCTTAATGAGCTCATTTCACATTGCGTACAAGAAGAGGAAAGACTAAAGCAAGACAAGACAGAAAGTGCTCATTTTTTGCAAGCACCTCCAAGGCTAAGGGCAAAAGAAAGAGATCAGAGGATCTCGAGAAAGAAGGTGCTAAGGGTCCAGAACAAAAGAAACAAACTCAAGAAAACAAATATTTCTTTTGCAATAAGATTGGACACGTAAAGAAGAAATGTGCTAAATATCATGCTTGGCATGAAAAGAAAGGGTTGCCTAAACTACCGGAAGCCAATTGATTCTGAAAGATGGATTTATGTTGGAGATGGCAAATCGGTAGAGGTGGAAGCTATAGGGCATTTTAAATTGTTATTAAGTACTGATTTTTATTTGGATTTGAAAGAAACTTTTGTTGTGCCGTCATTTAGACGGAATTTGGTTTCAGTTTCTTATTTGGACAAATTAGGTTATTTATGTTCATTTGGAAACAATAAGTTCAGTTTGTCTTTTAATTCAGATATTTTTGGAACTGGTTCACTTTTAATTTATGATAATCAGTATTTACTTGATATTGTGGCCACTTATAATGAAACCCTTAATGCAGAATCATGTGGTACTAAACGTAAAATTGAAAATACTCACTCAAGTGCATTATGGCACAAGTGCTCAGGTAACATCAAATTGTAACGTTTGGGCTTATGTTACACTCTTAAAGATATGGTAGAGAGTATGATTTGTCATTCCACCTTAATGGAATCACTTTGGGGAGAGACACTAAATATGACAGCTTATATTCTAAACAGAGTACCAACTAAAGCAGCTACCAAAACACCTTATGAGCTTTGGATTGGGCGACAACTTAGTTTGAAGAATTTCCATGTGTGGGATTGTCCAGCTGAGGCAAGACCTTATAAGTCAAATGAAAATAAATTGGACTCCCGAACAGTAAGTGGTTATATTATTGGTTATGCTGAAAGATCTAGGGGATATAAATTTTATGATCCCACATTAAAGACATTTTTTGAGATGGGAACTGCTACGTTCTTTGAGGATATTAAGTTTGGGGGGAAGAATAAGATTAAGAACTTCATCTTGGAGGAAGAATCGGTAACAAATCCAGAACCGATTCAAATAGTTACTTTTGATAAAGTAAGTTCGGAACCTCCACAAGACATTGTTGATGAACCCCTCACTCAAGATGATTTGGTTGTTCATGAAGAACAAACTCAAGATCCTCAAGAACCTGTGCATCATGAGCTAATAACTTTGCAGAGATCCACTAGAGAAAGAAGAAGTGCTATTTCGGATGATTACATGGTATTTCTTCAGGAACATGAGGAAAATAATGATATAATGGAAGATGACCCAGTTAACTTCTGTCAAGCTATACAAGGTTCTAACTCGCAAAAGTGGATTGAAGCAATGAATGAGAAGTATAAGTCCATGCAAGACAATAAGGTTATTGGGAACTTGTCCCATTACCAGAAGGTTTGAAACTCATTTGACTTCAAGATGAATATTGTTGATGATTGTGTGTATCACAAGTTTAAAGGGAGACAAGTTTAGTCTCAATCAGTGCCCAAAGGGGAATTTGGAAATTGAGGAAAGGCAAAAGATTCCCTATGCATCAGTTGTAGGGAGTTTGATCTATGTCCAAATATGTACGCATCCAGACATAACATATATAGTTGGGGTTCTAGGCAGATATTTAAGCAATCCAGGAATAGACCATTGAAAAGCAGCAAAAAGGGTCATAAGATATTTAAAGAGAACAAAAGATTATATGCTCACATATAGGAGGTCAGACCAGTTGGAGATCGCTGGGTTTTCTGACTCAGATTTTGCAGGATGTCAAGAATTTGTAGCATGCTATGAGGCATCAAATCATGGAATATGGCTGAGAAATTTTGTCACAGGGCTGCAAATTGTGAAAGGCATTGAAAGACCACTTAAGTTATATTGTGACAATAAATTAGCTGTATTGTTAAGGAAAGAGTACAAAGTGGACAGATTTTCATAGAACACTTAAGGACAAACTCCATGATACCAGATCCTCTGACTAAAGGACTTCCGCCCAAGGTCTTTCATGAGCATTTTGCTCACATGGGTGTTTTACAGTTTGAGGAATTTGTGGTTTAGTGGGAGTTAGTCACTTTTATATATTTTATGTTCTATGTTTAATTTTATATATGTATACATTGTTTTTTGGACATATTTGGTTATCTATAGATATGCGGTTTTTTCGTTCATTCATTACACTTTATACATTAAGGATATTATATCGATCTCAATAACTTAAAGTTTGGACCAGTTGAAAATAGACGTGTACAGATCACCTTCACGTAATTTTTCATGCTACACATTTCATGATGAATCCATGTCATTTGGTTATGTTAGGATGAGTAATCATTGTTGGTTTTAGTTGCGATGATGCAATGAAAAGCTGGTTTGGTTCTATATCCTAATATGATTAATGGACAGGACTTTTGGAGTATGCTAAAGGAATATAATGACAATTTTGAGCTCATAAAGTCTAACACATTTGTAAGGTTGTAAGAACATATATATTTGTGACCAGTGGGAGATTGTTGGAAAAATTTGGGTCATGTATATATATGATACATAATTTAAATGTGTTAGGGCCATTATTTATTAAGCCAAATAATAAAGTGATCTGACTAAATTAAAGTTTTGGCTAAAAGCATATGTCATGAAAATAAAATTGTGTAGAGACCATAGAGCAATTTCTAATTTGATGAGGGGCCAAACTGGAAATACTAAAACTTAAGTAATTAACCTAATTCTGGTTACCTAAAGGGTCATGGTCCCCTTCTGAGAGCACACACACAGAACGTAAGTATCAGTCCCGTTCCTTTCTTTCTATCCCCATCAAGAGAGAAAATCAAGAGGGAAATACAGGTGCTCTTCAGGTGGAAGATCATAAGATCAATATAGTGTTCTACAAAGACATCATCGTTATGGCTAATTCGAGTACGCTTTCGCATTCAGTTTATAGCATGTTTATCGAGTATGGGATTATGTTTATGTTTGATCGTTAGAATCAAAATCAGGATTATTATTATTATTATTATTATTATTATTGTTTTTCCAACATTTTTATCATCTGCTTGTTTTCTATTTAACAAGAAATAAATGATTTGTTGACGAGACCTTCAAAAGAAACAACCTTTCAACATCTTTAATTATTAGTATAATATTAATAAATTGTTAAATATTTATATTTATTATTATACTTATATTATTAAATGGAAGATATTGGCATAATGTTTTGAATGTATTGAAATATCATTCCTCCTAAAAAATATTTTACATATAAGCAACAATATTTTGTTTGTTAAGCATAATATATAAATTAATTAAAATTTATATAGAATAAACATCTAAAATTTAATAATTTAACTAATGATTAGGATGACAACTAAACTTATAGTTGCGGGATCGATCCATCCCCGTCCCAAGTTTGATGGAAAAAATCGATCAAAAACAGATTCAGGTTTTTTTCGCTTTAAAAAAATCGGAAACACATACAAAGATGGATAAATAATGTCGAAATTATAATAAATAAACATAGATTCTAATAATACTAACTTCATCCTAATTCAAGTTATATTATATGCTTTGGAAATTTCTATACATATTTCCATAAAATTTAATATTCACAAATAATGCTAACAATTACACCAATTCGTCATTGAAGTAATTACCATATCTATTGAGTTTTTGAGTTTTCACTGATTTCATCATTAATTAATGATCACTAATTCATCATCAATTTGGTTAGTAAGAACAATATATCACTTGTCCCACGATGAACGTCAATATTCTGACAAAAAAGTATTGGTTGGGGTTCTAGACTCTACTATTAGAGTTTTCATTGTTTGTTATCTTTTTTTTATTTTTTTATGATGAATATTTTTTCTATTAACTCTCCACATTGATTATAGTGTCAGGTGTCAGGTAGCCACTCCACTTGTTTGGTCGTGACCGAGTGCTTGATAACTTCTTTTAGTTGCAAACATAGTTTATTGTCAATTGATGATTGTGGATTTTAGTTGTAGAGTCTTATAGGTCATATTTTACTTAAAACATTGAGATTGATCTCATATTGATTGATTAGAGAGATTGGTCTTTATACTAGCGATGTAATAAAATAATTCCTCAAACTTAAAGCGAAAATTAAGAGTCTAAAAGAATAAAGTTGATCTTTTGATGAATCAAAATAACAACACAGATATAATCATTTTATTATTATATAATAATAATAATAATATTTAAAACTAATTGCTTGTGAACACATCATTTTCTATAATATTAAAACAAAATATAAAGAAGTAATATAAAAGGATTTTGCAATACTATCTTAAACTCTTAAACCAGTTGTCCAGAGCTACAAATTGGTGGTAACAAGCTGGAACCACTGGCTTTGAGGATCATCAAGACATAGAGAATCATTTTCTATGCAGATACATTTTGAAGTGACAATGGTGGATGAGTCAGAATCCTTCTGCAAGCAAAGTTGTTCCTCATGCTGAGTCATAGTAGCCAAGTGAAGTTTAGACAATGATACAGATTTCCAAGAACTGTTCTTGCTTTCACAATCAGAAACTACAACCGGAAGCCCTTCACCGATTGCTGTTAAGCACTTCTTAGTGCCATGCAAAAGGATTTCAGTCCCATTCCCTCCGTGAACCCATCTGTTCATGGTCTGACAGCTACCAAGTTCAACTTCACTCTTCTCATTCACTTGACCACATTCACCGGATAATGGGTGGTACAAGATATTTACAATGGGGGCCTTGGAGAGAGGTTCTACATAAAAACACACAAGTTATGTTATTGCAAAAATAATTCATATTCATGGTTATGAATGTAATAATGCATCATCACCAAACTCATTCGTTTAACTCAAAAGCCATACCTAGATTCTTCCTTTGCAAAAGTTGGAACTTGCGAGTGAAGTTGGGATCTAAGTGGTGCCAAGTCTCATCCATTATACCAAATGACTCCTCAACTTGGACCGTGTCACTCTTTAAATAGTAGCTACCTTGAAAAGCCCACAAACCCCAGTCCAAATCTTTCCCAACAAGATAAGTTTGAAGGCATGTCAAGAACCTGTTGTCCTCCACTGAAGAACCTACCTCGTTAAACCCAAACTCTGTAAAAATCAAAGGAACTGCATTCTTGCCAGTTGTGAGGAATCCAGCTCTGTCCTCTATCCCTTTAATGTTATCGGCACATATCCTATTCACTGGTTGCTTTGTCCATATCTCTCTCAATTTCAGTGTTCCAATTCCAGACCATGAATACAAATGTGTCTCAAACACCATTTTCTTACCCAAATCTATCTTCAATGGTTTACACTTTAAGAACTGCAACTCAGTATCATAATTCAATCCAGAAATAACCACAAGCACATTTGGGTTTGTCTTGTGTATAGACACTGCTGCTTTGCTCATGTACCTGTACCAGTCATACAAATTTTGGCGTGGACCATGCAATTCATTCCTCAAGCTCATTGCTACAATCTGTTACAGCATACACAAAATAATACTTTATATCCATTATCTTATTTAAAAGGCTAAGCAAACTATAATATAGATTGTTTGAGCAAAAGAGAAAAATACATACAACATGGTTTCCATTGAAGTGTTTGGCTGCCAGAGTAAGGCCATACACCCATTCTTGAGGATTAAAATGTCTATCATGGAAGAAACCGTTCTCATCATCGTCATTACAACACCACTTTGGCTCACTCACGTGGTTATCAAGTAACACTTTCACATTCTGAATCCCAAGTTCACGAACAACAGAATCAAAGACCTGAACATGTGTCATGGATAACACAAAAGGGTTGTTCTTGGAAATGCCTTGGACCACACCTGGTACATCCAAAGAGGTAAACGTGGCATTGACATTGTCGTGGACATAACGTGTCCACATGTAGATTGCGTAGGTGAGACGCACACAGTTAAACTTGTGCTCCACAATCTCACCAATGATATCCTTCAAGGGCCTTTTGTCAAGACCCTCAGGAATCATTGGTTGGAGGTGGCCAGCCCAATTGGCACATGCCAACTTCGCACGTTGTCCTGTGCCTTCATCTATGATCCATCTCTTTTGCGTGGATAAAGGATATGCATTCGAATGTGATGCAGAGATGAATACAAAAAGAACAAGGAAGAGTACAAGAACTGAAGGTATTCTCAACATTTTTTTAAATGAATTAAAATTAACTTTTCAACTTGGAGAAGAAACCATGCAAATATATAGAATTTTCTGCGGTAACAATTTTAACAAAATCTAATCATTAATAGATTCCACTCTTTCTATATTAACAAATCTTTGCTGTAACTGAGTAACTTCTTTGTATTTTTATCATCTGCTTGTTTTCTATTTAACAAAAAATAAATGATTTGTTGACAGACCTTCAAAAGAAACAACCTTTCAACATCTTTAATTATTAGTATAATATTAATAAATTGTTAAATATTTATATGTATTATTATAATTATATTATTAAATGGAAGATATTGGCATAATGTTTTGAATGTATTGAAATATCATTCCTCCTAAAAAATATTTTACATATAAGCAACAATATTTTGTTTGTTAAGCATAATATATAAATTAATTAAAATTTATATAGAATAAACATCTAAAATTTAATAAGTTAACTAATGATTAGGATGACAACTAAACTTATAGTTGCGAGGATCGATCCATCCCCGTCCCAAGTTTGATGGAAAAAATCGATCAAAAACGGATTCGGGTTTTTTTCGCTTTAAAAAATCGGAAACACATACAAAGATGGATAAATAATGTCGAAATTATAATAAATAAACATAGATTCCAATAATACTAACTTCATCCTAATTCAAGTTATATTATATGCTTTGGAAATTTCTATACATATTTCCATAAAATTTAATATTCACAAATAATGCTAACAATTACACCAATTCGTCATTGAAGTAATTACCATATCTATTGAGTTTTTGAGTTTTCACTCGATTTCATCATTAATTAATGATCACTAATTCATCATCAATTTGGTTAGTAAGAACAATATATCACTTGTCCCACGATGAACGTCAATATTCCGACAAAAAAGTATTGGTTGGGGTTCTAGACTCTACTATTAGAGTTTTCATTGTTTGTTGTCTTTTTATTTTTATTTTTTTATGATGGATATTTTTTCTATTAACTCTCCACATTGATTATAGTGTCAGGTGTCAGGTAGCCACTCCACTTGTTTGGTCGTGACCGAGTGCTTGATAACTTCTTTTAGTTGCAAACATAGTTTATTGTCAATTGATGATTGTGGATTTTAGTTGTAGAGTCTTATAGGTCATATTTTACTTAAAACATTGAGATTGATCTCATATTGATTGATTAGAGAGATTGGTCTTTATACTAGCGATGTAATAAAATAATTCCTCAAACTTAAAGCGAAAATTAAGAGTCTAAAAGAATAAAGTTGATCTTTTGATGAATCAAAATAACAACACAGATATAATCATTTTATTATTATATAATAATAATAATAATAATATTTAAAACTAATTGCTTGTGAACACATCATTTTCTATAATATTAAAACAAAATATAAAGAAGTAATACAAAAGGATTTTGCAATACTATCTTAAACTCTTAAACCAGTTGTCCAGAGCTACAAATTGGTGGTAACAAGCTGGAACCACCGGCTTTGAGGATCATCAAGACATAGAGAATCATTTTCTATGCAGATACATTTTGAAGTGACAATGGTGGATGAGTCGAATCCTTACGCAAGCAAAGTTGTTCCTCATGCTTGAGTCATAGTAGCCAAGTGAAGTTTAGACAAGTGATACTGATTTCCAAGAACTGTTCTTGCTTTCACAATCGAAACTACAACCGGAAGCCCTTCACCGATTCGTCGTTAAGCACTTCTTAGTGCCATGCAAAAGGATTTCGAGTCCCATTCCCTCCATGAACCCATCTCGTTCTTGGTCCGACAGATACCAAGTTCAACTTCACTCTTCTCATTCACTTGACCACATTCACCGGATAATGGGTGGTACAAGATATTTACAATGGGGGCCTTGGAGAGAGGTTCCACATAAAAACACACAAGTTATGTTATTGCAAAAATAATTCATATTCATGGTTATGAATGTAATAATGCATCATCACCAAACTCATTCGTTTAACTCAAAAGCCATACCTAGATTCTTCCTTTGCAAAAGTTGGAACTTGCGAGTGAAGTTGGGATCTCTCAAGTGGTGCCAAGTCTCATCCATTATACCAAATGACTCCTCAACTTGGACCGTGTCACTCTTTAAATAGTAGCTACCTTGAAAAGCCCACAAACCCCGAGTCCAAATCTTTCCCAACAAGATAAGTTTGAAGGCATGTCAAGAACCTATTGTCCTCCACCGAAGAACCTACCTCGTTAAACCCAAACTCGTAAAAATCAAAGGAACCGCATTCTTGCCGAGTTGTGAGGAATCCAGCTCTGTCCTCTATCCCTTTAATGTTATCGGCACATATCCTATTCACTGGTTGCTTTGTCCATATCTCTCTCAATTTCAGTGTTCCAATTCCAGACCATGAATACAAATGTGTCTCAAACACCATTTTCTTACCCAAATCTATCTTCAATGGTTTACTCTTTAAGAACTGCAACTCAGTATCATAATTCAATCCGGAAATAACCACAAGCACATTTGGGTTTGTCTTGTGTATAGACACTCGCTGCTTTGCTCATGTACCTGTACCAGTCATACAAATTTTGGCGTGGACCATGCAATTCATTCCTCAAGCTCATTGCTACAATCTGTTACAGACATACACAAAATAATACTTTATATCCATTATCTTATTTAAAAGGCTAAGCAAACTATAATATAGATTGTTTGAGCAAAAGAGAAAAATACATACAACATGGTTTCCATTGAAGTGTTTGGCTGCGCGAGTAAGGCCATACACCCATTCTTGAGGATTAAAATGTCTATCATGGAAGAAACCGTTCTCATCATCGTCATTACAACACCACTTTGGCTCACTCACGTGGTTATCAAGTAACACTTTCACATTCTGAATCCCAAGTTCACGAACAACGGAATCAAAGACCTGAACATGTGTCATGGATAACACAAAAGGGTTGTTCTTGGAAATGCCTTGGACCACACCTGGTACATCCAAAGAGGTAAACGTGGCATTGACATTGTCGTGGACATAACGTGTCCACATGTAGATTGCGTAGGTGAGACGCACACAGTTAAACTTGTGCTCCACAATCTCACCAATGATATCCTTCAAGGGCCTTTTGTCAAGACCCTCGGGAATCATTGGTTGGAGGTGGCCAGCCCAATTGGCACATGCCAACTTCGCACGTTGTCCTGTGCCTTCATCTATGATCCATCTCTTTTGCGTGGATAAAGGATATGCATTCGAATGTGATGCGAGAGATGAATACAAAAAGAACAAGGAAGAGTACAAGAACTGAAGGTATTCTCAACATTTTTTTAAATGAATTAAAATTAACTTTTCAACTTGGAGAAGAAACCATGCAAATATATAGAATTTTCATGCAGTAACAATTTTAACAAAATCTAATCATTAATAGATTCCACTCTTTCTATATTAACAAATCTTTGCTGTAACTCGAGTAACTTCTTTGTATTTTTATCATCTCGCTTGTTTTCTATTTAACAAAAAATAAATGATTTGTTGACAGACCTTCAAAAGAAACAACCTTTCAACATCTTTAATTATTAGTATAATATTAATAAATTGTTAAATATTTATATTTATTATTATAATTATATTATTAAATGGAAGATATTGGCATAATGTTTTGAATGTATTGAAATATCATTCCTCCTAAAAAATATTTTACATATAAGCAACAATATTTTGTTTGTTAAGCATAATATATAAATTAATTAAAATTTATATAGAATAAACATCTAAAATTTAATAAGTTAACTAATGATTAGGATGACAACTAAACTTATAGTTGCGAGGATCGATCCATCCCCGTCCCAAGTTTGATGGAAAAAATCGATCAAAAACGGATTCAGGTTTTTTTCGCTTTAAAAAAATCGGAAATACATACAAAGATGGATAACTAATGTCGAAATTATAATAAATAAACATAGATTCTAATAATACTAACTTCATCCTAATTCAAGTTATATTATATGCTTTGGAAATTTCTATACATATTTCCATAAAATTTAATATTCACAAATAATGCTAACAATTACACCAATTCGTCATTGAAGTAATTACCATATCTATTGAGTTTTTGAGTTTTCACTGATTTCATCATTAATTAATGATCACTAATTCATCATCAATTTGGTTAGTAAGAACAATATATCACTTGTCCCACGATGAACGTCAATATTCGACAAAAAAGTATTGGTTGGGGTTCTAGACTCTACTATTAGAGTTTTCATTGTTTGTTGTCTTTTTATTTTTATTTTTTTATGATGGATATTTTTTCTATTAACTCTCCACATTGATTATAGTGTCGGGTGTCGGGTAGCCACTCCACTTGTTTGGTCGTGACCGAGTGCTTGATAACTTCTTTTAGTTGCAAACATAGTTTATTGTCAATTGATGATTGTGGATTTTAGTTGTAGAGTCTTATAGGTCATATTTTACTTAAAACATTGAGATTGATCTCATATTGATTGATTAGAGAGATTGGTCTTTATACTAGCGATGTAATAAAATAATTCCTCAAACTTAAAGCGAAAATTAAGAGTCTAAAAGAATAAAGTTGATCTTTTGATGAATCAAAATAACAACACAGATATAATCATTTTATTATTATATAATAATAATAATAATAATATTTAAAACTAATTGCTTGTGAACACATCATTTTCTATAATATTAAAACAAAATATAAAGAAGTAATACAAAAGGATTTTGCAATACTATCTTAAACTCTTAAACCAGTTGTCCAGAGCTACAAATTGGTGGTAACAAGCTGGAACCACTGGCTTTGAGGATCATCAAGACATAGAGAATCATTTTCTATGCAGATACATTTTGAAGTGACAATGGTGGATGAGTCAGAATCCTTCTGCAAGCAAAGTTGTTCCTCATGCTGAGTCATAGTAGCCAAGTGAAGTTTAGACAGTGATACAGATTTCCAAGAACTGTTCTTGCTTTCACAATCAGAAACTACAACCGGAAGCCCTTCACCGATTGCTGTTAAGCACTTCTTAGTGCCATGCAAAAGGATTTCAGTCCCATTCCCTCCATGAACCCATCTGTTCTTGGTCTGACAGATACCAAGTTCAACTTCACTCTTCTCATTCACTTGACCACATTCACCGGATAATGGGTGGTACAAGATATTTACAATGGGGGCCTTGGAGAGAGGTTCCACATAAAAACACACAAGTTATGTTATTGCAAAAATAATTCATATTCATGGTTATGAATGTAATAATGCATCATCACCAAACTCATTCGTTTAACTCAAAAGCCATACCTAGATTCTTCCTTTGCAAAAGTTGGAACTTGCGAGTGAAGTTGGGATCTCTCAAGTGGTGCCAAGTCTCATCCATTATACCAAATGACTCCTCAACTTGGACCGTGTCACTCTTTAAATAGTAGCTACCTTGAAAAGCCCACAAACCCCGATCCAAATCTTTCCCAACAAGATAAGTTTGAAGGCATGTCAAGAACCTATTGTCCTCCATCGAAGAACCTACCTCGTTAAACCCAAACTCGTAAAAATCAAAGGAACCGCATTCTTGCCGGCTGTGAGGAATCCAGCTCGTCCTCTATCCCTTTAATGTTATCGGCACATATCCTATTCACTTGGTTGCTTTGTCCATATCTCTCTCAATTTCGGTGTTCCAATTCCAGACCATGAATACAAATGTGTCTCAAACACCATTTTCTTACCCAAATCTATCTTCAATGGTTTACTCTTTAAGAACCGCAACTCAGTATCATAATTCAATCGGAGATAACCACAAGCACATTTTGGTTTGTCTTGTGTATAGACACTGCTCGCTTTGCTCATGTACCTGTACCGGTCATACAAATTTTGGCGTGGACCATGCAATTCATTCCTCAAGCTCATTGCTACAATCATTACAAGCATACACAAAATAATACTTTATATCCATTATCTTATTTAAAAGGCTAAGCAAACTATAATATAGATTGTTTGAGCAAAAGAGAAAAACACATACAACATGGTTTCCATTGAAGTGTTTGGCTGCCAGAGTAAGGCCATACACCCATTCTTGAGGATTAAAATGTCTATCATGGAAGAAACCGTTCTCATCATCGTCATTACAACACCACTTTGACTCACTCACGTGGTTTTCAAGTAACACTTTCACATTCTGAATCCCAAGTTCACGAACAACAGAATCAAAGACCTGAACATGTGTCATGGATAACACAAAAGGGTTGTTCTTGGCAATGCCTTGGACCACACCTGGTACATCCAAAGAGGTAAACGTGGCATTGACATTGTCGTGGACATAACGTGTCCACATGTAGATTGCGTAGGTGAGACGCACACAGTTAAACTTGTGCTCCACAATCTCACCAATGATATCCTTCAAGGGCCTTTTGTCAAGACCCTCAGGAATCATTGGTTGGAGGTGGCCAGCCCAATTGGCACATGCCAACTTCGCACGTTGTCCTGTGCCTTCATCTATGATCCATCTCTTTTGCGTGGATAAAGGATATGCATTCGAATGTGATGCAGAGATGAATACAAAAAGAACAAGGAAGAGTACAAGAACTGAAGGTATTCTCAACATTTTTTTAAATGAATTAAAATTAACTTTTCAACTTGGAGAAGAAACCATGCAAATATATAGAATTTTCTACGGTAACAATTTTAACAAAATCTAATCATTAATAGATTCCACTCTTTCTATATTAACAAATCTTTGTCTGAATCGAGTAACTTCTTTGTATTTTTATCATCTGCTTGTTTTCTATTTAACAAAAAATAAATGATTTGTTGACGGACCTTCAAAAGAAACAACCTTTCAACATCTTTAATTATTAGTATAATATTAATAAATTGTTAAATATTTATATTTATTATTATAATTATATTATTAAATGGAAGATATTGGCATAATGTTTTGAATGTATTGAAATATCATTCCTCCTAAAAAATATTTTACATATAAGCAACAATATTTTGTTTGTTAAGCATAATATATAAATTAATTAAAATTTATATAGAATAAACATCTAAAATTTAATAAGTTAACTAATGATTAGGATGACAACTAAACTTATAGTTGCGAGGATCGATCCATCCCCTCCCAAGTTTGATGGAAAAAATCGATCAAAAACGGATTCGAGTTTTTTTCGCTTTAAAAAATCGGAAACACATACAAAGATGGATAAATAATGTCGAAATTATAATAAATAAACATAGATTCTAATAATACTAACTTCATCCTAATTCAAGTTATATTATATGCTTTGGAAATTTCTATACATATTTCCATAAAATTTAATATTCACAAATAATGCTAACAATTACACCAATTCGCTCATTGAAGTAATTACCATATCTATTGAGTTTTTGAGTTTTCACTGATTTCATCATTAATTAATGATCACTAATTCATCATCAATTTGGTTAGTAAGAACAATATATCACTTGTCCCACGATGAACGTCAATATTCGACAAAAAAGTATTGGTTGGGGTTCTAGACTCTACTATTAGAGTTTTCATTGTTTTTTGTCTTTTTTTTTTTATGAGAATATTTTTTCTATTAACTCTCCACATTGATTATAGTGTCGGGTGTCGGGTAGCCACTCCACTTGTTTGGTCGTGACCGAGTGCTTGATAACTTCTTTTAGTTGCAAACATAGTTTATTGTCAATTGATGATTGTGGATTTTAGTTGTAGAGTCTTATAGGTCATATTTTACTTAAAACATTGAGATTGATCTCATATTGATTGATTAGAGAGATTGGTCTTTATACTAGCGATGTAATAAAATAATTCCTCAAACTTACAAGCGAAAATTAAGAGTCTAAAAGAATAAAGTTGATCTTTTGATGAATCAAAATAACAACACGAGATATAATCATTTTATTATTATTATATAATAATAATAATAATATTTAAAACTAATTGCTTGTGAACACATCATTTTCTATAATATTAAAACAAAATATAAAGAAGTAATATAAAAGGATTTTGCAATACTATCTTAAACTCTTAAACCGAGTTGTCCGAGCTACAAATTGGTGGTAACAAAGCTGGAACCACCGGCTTTGAGGATCATCAAGACATAGAGAATCATTTTCTATGCGGATACATTTTGAAGTGACAATGGTGGATGAGTCGGAATCCTTCGCAAGCAAAGTTGTTCCTCATCTTGAGTCATAGTAGCCAAGTGAAGTTTAGACAGGTGATACTGATTTCCAAGAACTGTTCTTGCTTTCACAATCGAAAGTACAACCGGAAGCCCTTCACCGATTCGTCGTTAAGCACTTCTTAGTGCCATGCAAAAGGATTTCAGTCCCATTCCCTCCATGAACCCATCTGTTCTTGGTCTGACAGCTACCAAGTTCAACTTCACTCTTCTCATTCACTTGACCACATTCACCGGATAATGGGTGGTACAAGATATTTACAATGGGGGCCTTGGAGAGAGGTTCTACATAAAAACACACAAGTTATGTTATTGCAAAAATAATTCATATTCATGGTTATGAATGTAATAATGCATCATCACCAAACTCATTCGTTTAACTCAAAAGCCATACCTAGATTCTTCCTTTGCAAAAGTTGGAACTTGCGAGTGAAGTTGGGATCTCTCGAGTGGTGCCAAGTCTCATCCATTATACCAAATGACTCCTCAACTTGGACCGTGTCACTCTTTAAATAGTAGCTACCTTGAAAAGCCCACAAACCCCAGTCCAAATCTTTCCCAACAAGATAAGTTTGAAGGCATGTCAAGAACCCGTTGTCCTCCACCGAAGAACCTACCTCGTTAAACCCAAACTCTGTAAAAATCAAAGGAACCGCATTCTTGCCAGTTGTGAGGAATCCAACTCTGTCCTCTATCCCTTTAATGTTATCGGCACATATCCTATTCACCTGGTTGCTTTGTCCATATCTCTCTCAATTTCGGTGTTCCAATTCCGGACCATGAATACAAATGTGTCTCAAACACCATTTTCTTACCCAAATCTATCTTCAATGGTTTACTCTTTAAGAACTCGCAACTCGAGTATCATAATTCAATCCGGAGATAACCACAAGCACATTTGGGTTTGTCTTGTGTATAGACACTGCTGCTTTGCTCATGTACCTGTACCGATCATACAAATTTTGGCGTGGACCATGCAATTCATTCCTCAAGCTCATTGCTACAATCTGCTACAAAGATACACAAAATAATACTTTATATCCATTATCTTATTTAAAAGGCTAAGCAAACTATAATATAGATTGTTTGAGCAAAAGAGAAAAATACATACAACATGGTTTCCATTAAAGTGTTTGGCTGCCGGAGTAAGGCCATACACCCATTCTTGAGGATTAAAATGTCTATCATGGAAGAAACCGTTCTCATCATCGTCATTACAACACCACTTTGGCTCACTCACGTGGTTATCAAGTAACACTTTCACATTCTCGAATCCCAAGTTCACGAACAACGGAATCAAAGACCTCGAACATGTGTCATGGATAACACAAAAGGGTTGTTCTTGGCAATGCCTTGGACCACACCTGGTACATCCAAAGAGGTAAACGTGGCATTGACATTGTCGTGGACATAACGTGTCCACATGTAGATTGCGTAGGTGAGACGCACACAGTTAAACTTGTGCTCCACAATCTCACCAATGATATCCTTCAAGGGCCTTTTGTCAAGACCCTCAGGAATCATTGGTTGGAGGTGGCCAGCCCAATTGGCACATGCCAACTTCGCACGTTGTCCTGTGCCTTCATCTATGATCCATCTCTTTTGCGTGGATAAAGGATATGCATTCGAATGTGATGCAGAGATGAATACAAAAAGAACAAGGAAGAGTACAAGAACTCGAAGGTATTCTCAACATTTTTTTAAATGAATTAAAATTAACTTTTCAACTTGGAGAAGAAACCATGCAAATATATAGAATTTTCTCACGGTAACAATTTTAACAAAATCTAATCATTAATAGATTCCACTCTTTCTATATTAACAAATCTTTCTTAAACTCGAGTAACTTCTTTGTATTTTTATCATCTCGCTTGTTTTCTATTTAACAAAAAATAAATGATTTGTTGACAGCACCTTCAAAAGAAACAACCTTTCAACATCTTTAATTATTAGTATAATATTAATAAATTGTTAAATATTTATATTTATTATTATAATTATATTATTAAATGGAAGATATTGGCATAATGTTTTGAATGTATTGAAATATCATTCCTCCTAAAAAATATTTTACATATAAGCAACAATATTTTGTTTGTTAAGCATAATATATAAATTAATTAAAATTTATATAGAATAAACATCTAAAATTTAATAAGTTAACTAATGATTAGGATGACAACTAAACTTATAGTTGCGAGGATCGATCCATCCCCTCCCAAGTTTGATGGAAAAAATCGATCAAAAACGGATTCAGTGTTTTTTCGCTTTAAAAAATCGAAACACATACAAAGATGGATAAATAATGTCGAAATTATAATAAATAAACATAGATTCTAATAATACTAACTTCATCCTAATTCAAGTTATATTATATGCTTTGGAAATTTCTATACATATTTCCATAAAATTTAATATTCACAAATAATGCTAACAATTACACCAATTGGTCATTGAAGTAATTACCATATCTATTGAGTTTTTGAGTTTTCACTGATTTCATCATTAATTAATGATCACTAATTCATCATCAATTTGGTTAGTAAGAACAATATATCACTTGTCCCACGATGAACGTCAATATTCTGACAAAAAAGTATTGGTTGGGGTTCTAGACTCTACTATTAGAGTTTTCATTGTTTTTTGTCTTTTTTTTTATTTTTTTATGATGAATATTTTTTCTATTAACTCTCCACATTGATTATAGTGTCAGGTGTCGGGTAGCCACTCCACTTGTTTGGTCGTGACCGAGTGCTTGATAACTTCTTTTAGTTGCAAACATAGTTTATTGTCAATTGATGATTGTGGATTTTAGTTGTAGAGTCTTATAGGTCATATTTTACTTAAAACATTGAGATTGATCTCATATTGATTGATTAGAGAGATTGGTCTTTATACTAGCGATGTAATAAAATAATTCCTCAAACTTACAGCGAAAATTAAGAGTCTAAAAGAATAAAGTTGATCTTTTGATGAATCAAAATAACAACACAGATATAATCATTTTATTATTATTATATAATAATAATAATAATATTTAAAACTAATTGCTTGTGAACACATCATTTTCTATAATATTAAAACAAAATATAAAGAAGTAATATAAAAGGATTTTGCAATACTATCTTAAACTCTTAAACCAGTTGTCCAGAGCTACAAATTGGTGGTAACAAGCTGGAACCACCGGCTTTGAGGATCATCAAGACATAGAGAATCATTTTCTATGCAGATACATTTTGAAGTGACAATGGTGGATGAGTCAGAATCCTTCTGCAAGCAAAGTTGTTCCTCATGCTGAGTCATAGTAGCCAAGTGAAGTTTAGACAGTGATACAGATTTCCAAGAACTGTTCTTGCTTTCACAATCAGAAACTACAACCGGAAGCCCTTCACCGATTGCTGTTAAGCACTTCTTAGTGCCATGCAAAAGGATTTCAGTCCCATTCCCTCCATGAACCCATCTGTTCTTGGTCTGACAGCTACCAAGTTCAACTTCACTCTTCTCATTCACTTGACCACATTCACCGGATAATGGGTGGTACAAGATATTTACAATGGGGGCCTTGGAGAGAGGTTCTACATAAAAACACACAAGTTATGTTATTGCAAAAATAATTCATATTCATGGTTATGAATGTAATAATGCATCATCACCAAACTCATTCGTTTAACTCAAAAGCCATACCTAGATTCTTCCTTTGCAAAAGTTGGAACTTGCGAGTGAAGTTGGGATCTCTCAAGTGGTGCCAAGTCTCATCCATTATACCAAATGACTCCTCAACTTGGACCGTGTCACTCTTTAAATAGTAGCTACCTTGAAAAGCCCACAAACCCCAGTCCAAATCTTTCCCAACAAGATAAGTTTGAAGGCATGTCAAGAACCTGTTGTCCTCCACTGAAGAACCTACCTCGTTAAACCCAAACTCTGTAAAAATCAAAGGAACTGCATTCTTGCCAGTTGTGAGGAATCCAGCTCTGTCCTCTATCCCTTTAATGTTATCGGCACATATCCTATTCACTGGTTGCTTTGTCCATATCTCTCTCAATTTCAGTGTTCCAATTCCAGACCATGAATACAAATGTGTCTCAAACACCATTTTCTTACCCAAATCTATCTTCAATGGTTTACTCTTTAAGAACTGCAACTCAGTATCATAATTCAATCCGGAGATAACCACAAGCACATTTGGGTTTGTCTTGTGTATAGACACTGCTGCTTTGCTCATGTACCTGTACCAGTCATACAAATTTTGGCGTGGACCATGCAATTCATTCCTCAAGCTCATTGCTACAATCTGTTACAGCATACACAAAATAATACTTTATATCCATTATCTTATTTAAAAGGCTAAGCAAACTATAATATAGATTGTTTGAGCAAAAGAGAAAAATACATACAACATGGTTTCCATTAAAGTGTTTGGTCTGCCGAGTAAGGCCATACACCCATTCTTGAGGATTAAAATGTCTATCATGGAAGAAACCGTTCTCATCATCGTCATTACAACACCACTTTGGCTCACTCACGTGGTTATCAAGTAACACTTTCACATTCTGAATCCCAAGTTCACGAACAACGTAATCAAAGACCTGAACATGTGTCATGGATAACACAAAAGGGTTGTTCTTGGCAATGCCTTGGACCACACCTGGTACATCCAAAGAGGTAAACGTGGCATTGACATTGTCGTGGACATAACGTGTCCACATGTAGATTGCGTAGGTGAGACGCACACAGTTAAACTTGTGCTCCACAATCTCACCAATGATATCCTTCAAGGGCCTTTTGTCAAGACCCTCAGGAATCATTGGTTGGAGGTGGCTGACCCAATTGGCACATGCCAACTTCGCACGTTGTCCCGTGCCTTCATCTATGATCCATCTCTTTTGCGTGGATAAAGGATATGCATTCGAATGTGATGCAGAGATGAATACAAAAAGAACAAGGAAGAGTACAAGAACCGAAGGTATTCTCAACATTTTTTTAAATGAATTAAAATTAACTTTTCAACTTGGAGAAGAAACCATGCAAATATATAGAATTTTCTACAGTAACAATTTTAACAAAATCTAATCATTAATAGATTCCACTCTTTCTATATTAACAAATCTTTGCTTGAAACTCGAGTAACTTCTTTGTATTTTTATCATCTGCTTGTTTTCTATTTAACAAAAAATAAATGATTTGTTGACGTACCTTCAAAAGAAACAACCTTTCAACATCTTTAATTATTAGTATAATATTAATAAATTGTTAAATATTTATATTTATTATTATAATTATATTATTAAATGGAAGATATTGGCATAATGTTTTGAATGTATTGAAATATCATTCCTCCTAAAAAATATTTTACATATAAGCAACAATATTTTGTTTGTTAAGCATAATATATAAATTAATTAAAATTTATATAGAATAAACATCTAAAATTTAATAAGTTAACTAATGATTAGGATGACAACTAAACTTATAGTTGCGAGGATCGATCCATCCCCTCCCAAGTTTGATGGAAAAAATCGATCAAAAACGGATTCGTGTTTTTTTCGCTTTAAAAAATCGAAACACATACAAAGATGGATAAATAATGTCGAAATTATAATAAATAAACATAGATTCTAATAATACTAACTTCATCCTAATTCAAGTTATATTATATGCTTTGGAAATTTCTATACATATTTCCATAAAATTTAATATTCACAAATAATGCTAACAATTACACCAATTCGTCATTGAAGTAATTACCATATCTATTGAGTTTTTGAGTTTTCACTGATTTCATCATTAATTAATGATCACTAATTCATCATCAATTTGGTTAGTAAGAACAATATATCACTTGTCCCACGATGAACGCCAATATTCTGACAAAAAAGTATTGGTTGGGGTTCTAGACTCTACTATTAGAGTTTTCATTGTTTTTTGTCTTTTTTATTTTTTTATGATGAATATTTTTTCTATTAACTCTCCACATTGATTATAGTGTCGGTGTCGGTAGCCACTCCACTTGTTTGGTCGTGACCGAAGTGCTTGATAACTTCTTTTAGTTGCAAACATAGTTTATTGTCAATTGATGATTGTGGATTTTAGTTGTAGAGTCTTATAGGTCATATTTTACTTAAAACATTGAGATTGATCTCATATTGATTGATTAGAGAGATTGGTCTTTATACTAGCGATGTAATAAAATAATTCCTCAAACTTACAAGTGAAAATTAAGAGTCTAAAAGAATAAAGTTGATCTTTTGATGAATCAAAATAACAACACAGATATAATCATTTTATTATTATTATATAATAATAATAATAATATTTAAAACTAATTGCTTGTGAACACATCATTTTCTATAATATTAAAACAAAATATAAAGAAGTAATATAAAAGGATTTTGCAATACTATCTTAAACTCTTAAACCAAGCTTGTCCGGAGCTACAAATTGGTGGTAACAAGCTGGAACCACTCGGCTTTGAGGATCATCAAGACATAGAGAATCATTTTCTATGCAGATACATTTTGAAGTGACAATGGTGGATGAGTCGGAATCCTTCCGCAAGCAAAGTTGTTCCTCATGCCGAGTCATAGTAGCCAAGTGAAGTTTAGACAGTGATACAGCATTTCCAAGAACTGTTCTTGCTTTCACAATCGTAAACTACAACCGAAGCCCTTCACCGATTGCTGTTAAGCACTTCTTAGTGCCATGCAAAAGGATTTCGGTCCCATTCCCTCCATGAACCCATCTCGTTCTTGGTCCGACAGACTACCAAGTTCAACTTCACTCTTCTCATTCACTTGACCACATTCACTCGGATAATGGGTGGTACAAGATATTTACAATGGGGGCCTTGGAGAGAGGTTCTACATAAAAACACACAAGTTATGTTATTGCAAAAATAATTCATATTCATGGTTATGAATGTAATAATGCATCATCACCAAACTCATTCGTTTAACTCAAAAGCCATACCTAGATTCTTCCTTTGCAAAAGTTGGAACTTGCGAGTGAAGTTGGGATCTCTCAAGTGGTGCCAAGTCTCATCCATTATACCAAATGACTCCTCAACTTGGACCGTGTCACTCTTTAAATAGTAGCTACCTTGAAAAGCCCACAAACCCCAGTCCAAATCTTTCCCAACAAGATAAGTTTGAAGGCATGTCAAGAACCTGTTGTCCTCCACCGAAGAACCTACCTCGTTAAACCCAAACTCGTAAAAATCAAAGGAACTGCATTCTTGCCGGTTGTGAGGAATCCAGCTCTGTCCTCTATCCCTTTAATGTTATCGACACATATCCTATTCACTCGGTTGCTTTGTCCATATCTCTCTCAATTTCGGTGTTCCAATTCCAGACCATGAATACAAATGTGTCTCAAACACCATTTTCTTACCCAAATCTATCTTCAATGGTTTACTCTTTAAGAACCGCAACTCAGTATCATAATTCAATCCGGAGATAACCACAAGCACATTTGGGTTTGTCTTGTGTATAGACACTCGTTGCTTTGCTCATGTACCTGTACTCAGTCATACAAATTTTGGCGTGGACCATGCAATTCATTCCTCAAGCTCATTGCTACAATCTGCTACAAAGATACACAAAATAATACTTTATATCCATTATCTTATTTAAAAGGCTAAGCAAACTATAATATAGATTGTTTGAGCAAAAGAGAAAAATACATACAACATGGTTTCCATTAAAGTGTTTGGCTGCCGAGTAAGGCCATACACCCATTCTTGAGGATTAAAATGTCTATCATGGAAGAAACCGTTCTCATCATCGTCATTACAACACCACTTTGGCTCACTCACGTGGTTATCAAGTAACACTTTCACATTCTCGAATCCCAAGTTCACGAACAATGTAATCAAAGACCCGAACATGTGTCATGGATAACACAAAAGGGTTGTTCTTGGCAATGCCTTGGACCACACCTGGTACATCCAAAGAGGTAAACGTGGCATTGACATTGTCGTGGACATAACGTGTCCACATGTAGATTGCGTAGGTGAGACGCACACGCTAAACTTGTGCTCCACAATCTCACCAATGATATCCTTCAAGGGCCTTTTGTCAAGACCCTCAGGAATCATTGGTTGGAGGTGGCCAGCCCAATTGGCACATGCCAACTTCGCACGTTGTCCTCGTGCCTTCATCTATGATCCATCTCTTTTGCGTGGATAAAGGATATGCATTCGAATGTGATGCGAGAGATGAATACAAAAAGAACAAGGAAGAGTACAAGAACTGAAGGTATTCTCAACATTTTTTTAAATGAATTAAAATTAACTTTTCAACTTGGAGAAGAAACCATGCAAATATATAGAATTTTCTACGGTAACAATTTTAACAAAATCTAATCATTAATAGATTCCACTCTTTCTATATTAACAAATCTTTGCTGAAACCGAGTAACTTCTTTGTATTTTTATCATCTCGCTTGTTTTCTATTTAACAAAAAATAAATGATTTGTTGACAGACCTTCAAAAGAAACAACCTTTCAACATCTTTAATTATTAGTATAATATTAATAAATTGTTAAATATTTATATTTATTATTATAATTATATTATTAAATGGAAGATATTGGCATAATGTTTTGAATGTATTGAAATATCATTCCTCCTAAAAAATATTTTACATATAAGCAACAATATTTTGTTTGTTAAGCATAATATATAAATTAATTAAAATTTATATAGAATAAACATCTAAAATTTAATAAGTTAACTAATGATTAGGATGACAACTAAACTTATAGTTGCGAGGATCGATCCATCCCCTCCCAAGTTTGATGGAAAAAATCGATCAAAAACGGATTCGTGGTTTTTTCGCTTTAAAAAATCGAAACACATACAAAGATGGATAAATAATGTCGAAATTATAATAAATAAACATAGATTCTAATAATACTAACTTCATCCTAATTCAAGTTATATTATATGCTTTGGAAATTTCTATACATATTTCCATAAAATTTAATATTCACAAATAATGCTAACAATTACACCAATTCGTCATTGAAGTAATTACCATATCTATTGAGTTTTTGAGTTTTCACTGATTTCATCATTAATTAATGATCACTAATTCATCATCAATTTGGTTAGTAAGAACAATATATCACTTGTCCCACGATGAACGCCAATATTCCGACAAAAAAGTATTGGTTGGGGTTCTAGACTCTACTATTAGAGTTTTCATTGTTTTTTGTCTTTTTTTTATTTTTTTATGATGAATATTTTTTCTATTAACTCTCCACATTGATTATAGTGTCGGTGTCGGTAGCCACTCCACTTGTTTGGTCGTGACCGAGTGCTTGATAACTTCTTTTAGTTGCAAACATAGTTTATTGTCAATTGATGATTGTGGATTTTAGTTGTAGAGTCTTATAGGTCATATTTTACTTAAAACATTGAGATTGATCTCATATTGATTGATTAGAGAGATTGGTCTTTATACTAGCGATGTAATAAAATAATTCCTCAAACTTACAAGCGAAAATTAAGAGTCTAAAAGAATAAAGTTGATCTTTTGATGAATCAAAATAACAACACAGATATAATCATTTTATTATTATTATATAATAATAATAATAATATTTAAAACTAATTGCTTGTGAACACATCATTTTCTATAATATTAAAACAAAATATAAAGAAGTAATATAAAAGGATTTTGCAATACTATCTTAAACTCTTAAACCAGCTTGTCCGAGCTACAAATTGGTGGTAACAAGCCGGAACCACTCGGCTTTGAGGATCATCAAGACATAGAGAATCATTTTCTATGCGGATACATTTTGAAGTGACAATGGTGGATGAGTCGAATCCTTCCGCAAGCAAAGTTGTTCCTCATGCTCGAGTCATAGTAGCCAAGTGAAGTTTAGACAAGTGATACAGCATTTCCAAGAACTGTTCTTGCTTTCACAATCGAAACTACAACCTGAAGCCCTTCACCGATTCGTCGTTAAGCACTTCTTAGTGCCATGCAAAAGGATTTCAGTCCCATTCCCTCCATGAACCCATCTGTTCTTGGTCCGACAGCCTACCAAGTTCAACTTCACTCTTCTCATTCACTTGACCACATTCACCGGATAATGGGTGGTACAAGATATTTACAATGGGGGCCTTGGAGAGAGGTTCTACATAAAAACACACAAGTTATGTTATTGCAAAAATAATTCATATTCATGGTTATGAATGTAATAATGCATCATCACCAAACTCATTCGTTTAACTCAAAAGCCATACCTAGATTCTTCCTTTGCAAAAGTTGGAACTTGCGAGTGAAGTTGGGATCTCTCAAGTGGTGCCAAGTCTCATCCATTATACCAAATGACTCCTCAACTTGGACCGTGTCACTCTTTAAATAGTAGCTACCTTGAAAAGCCCACAAACCCCAGTCCAAATCTTTCCCAACAAGATAAGTTTGAAGGCATGTCAAGAACCCGTTGTCCTCCACCGAAGAACCTACCTCGTTAAACCCAAACTCGTAAAAATCAAAGGAACCGCATTCTTGCCAGCTGTGAGGAATCCAACTCCGTCCTCTATCCCTTTAATGTTATCGGCACATATCCTATTCACTGGTTGCTTTGTCCATATCTCTCTCAATTTCAGTGTTCCAATTCCGGACCATGAATACAAATGTGTCTCAAACACCATTTTCTTACCCAAATCTATCTTCAATGGTTTACTCTTTAAGAACTCGCAACTCAGCATCATAATTCAATCCGGAGATAACCACAAGCACATTTGGGTTTGTCTTGTGTATAGACACTCGCTGCTTTGCTCATGTACCTGCACTCGACCATACAAATTTTGGCGTGGACCATGCAATTCATTCCTCAAGCTCATTGCTACAATCTGTTACAAGCATACACAAAATAATACTTTATATCCATTATCTTATTTAAAAGGCTAAGCAAACTATAATATAGATTGTTTGAGCAAAAGAGAAAAATACATACAACATGGTTTCCATTAAAGTGTTTGGCTGCCGTAGTAAGGCCATACACCCATTCTTGAGGATTAAAATGTCTATCATGGAAGAAACCGTTCTCATCATCGTCATTACAACACCACTTTGGCTCACTCACGTGGTTATCAAGTAACACTTTCACATTCTCGAATCCCAAGTTCACGAACAACGTAATCAAAGACCCGAACATGTGTCATGGATAACACAAAAGGGTTGTTCTTGGCAATGCCTTGGACCACACCTGGTACATCCAAAGAGGTAAACGTGGCATTGACATTGTCGTGGACATAACGTGTCCACATGTAGATTGCGTAGGTGAGACGCACACGGTTAAACTTGTGCTCCACAATCTCACCAATGATATCCTTCAAGGGCCTTTTGTCAAGACCCTCGGGAATCATTGGTTGGAGGTGGCCAGCCCAATTGGCACATGCCAACTTCGCACGTTGTCCTCGTGCCTTCATCTATGATCCATCTCTTTTGCGTGGATAAAGGATATGCATTCGAATGTGATGCGGAGATGAATACAAAAAGAACAAGGAAGAGTACAAGAACTGAAGGTATTCTCAACATTTTTTTAAATGAATTAAAATTAACTTTTCAACTTGGAGAAGAAACCATGCAAATATATAGAATTTTCTACGGTAACAATTTTAACAAAATCTAATCATTAATAGATTCCACTCTTTCTATATTAACAAATCTTTGCTGAAACCGAGTAACTTCTTTGTATTTTTATCATCTCGCTTGTTTTCTATTTAACAAAAAATAAATGATTTGTTGACAGACCTTCAAAAGAAACAACCTTTCAACATCTTTAATTATTAGTATAATATTAATAAATTGTTAAATATTTATATTTATTATTATAATTATATTATTAAATGGAAGATATTGGCATAATGTTTTGAATGTATTGAAATATCATTCCTCCTAAAAAATATTTTACATATAAGCAACAATATTTTGTTTGTTAAGCATAATATATAAATTAATTAAAATTTATATAGAATAAACATCTAAAATTTAATAAGTTAACTAATGATTAGGATGACAACTAAACTTATAGTTGCGAGGATCGATCCATCCCCTCCCAAGTTTGATGGAAAAAATCGATCAAAAACGGATTCAGGTTTTTTTCGCTTTAAAAAAATCAGAAACACATACAAAGATGGATAAATAATGTCGAAATTATAATAAATAAACATAGATTCTAATAATACTAACTTCATCCTAATTCAAGTTATATTATATGCTTTGGAAATTTCTATACATATTTCCATAAAATTTAATATTCACAAATAATGCTAACAATTACACCAATTCGTCATTGAAGTAATTACCATATCTATTGAGTTTTTGAGTTTTCACTGATTTCATCATTAATTAATGATCACTAATTCATCATCAATTTGGTTAGTAAGAACAATATATCACTTGTCCCACGATGAACGTCAATATTCTGACAAAAAAGTATTGGTTGGGGTTCTAGACTCTACTATTAGAGTTTTCATTGTTTTTTGTCTTTTTTTTTATTTTTTTATGATGAATATTTTTTCTATTAACTCTCCACATTGATTATAGTGTCAGGTGTCAGGTAGCCACTCCACTTGTTTGGTCGTGACCGAGTGCTTGATAACTTCTTTTAGTTGCAAACATAGTTTATTGTCAATTGATGATTGTGGATTTTAGTTGTAGAGTCTTATAGGTCATATTTTACTTAAAACATTGAGATTGATCTCATATTGATTGATTAGAGAGATTGGTCTTTATACTAGCGATGTAATAAAATAATTCCTCAAACTTACAAGCGAAAATTAAGAGTCTAAAAGAATAAAGTTGATCTTTTGATGAATCAAAATAACAACACAGATATAATCATTTTATTATTATTATATAATAATAATAATAATATTTAAAACTAATTGCTTGTGAACACATCATTTTCTATAATATTAAAACAAAATATAAAGAAGTAATATAAAAGGATTTTGCAATACTATCTTAAACTCTTAAACCAGCTTGTCCGGAGCTACAAATTGGTGGTAACAAGCTGGAACCACCGGCTTTGAGGATCATCAAGACATAGAGAATCATTTTCTATGCGGATACATTTTGAAGTGACAATGGTGGATGAGTCGAATCCTTCCGCAAGCAAAGTTGTTCCTCATGCCGAGTCATAGTAGCCAAGTGAAGTTTAGACAGATGATACAGATTTCCAAGAACTGTTCTTGCTTTCACAATCGTAAACTACAACCGAAGCCCTTCACCGATTGCTGTTAAGCACTTCTTAGTGCCATGCAAAAGGATTTCAGTCCCATTCCCTCCATGAACCCATCTGTTCTTGGTCTGACAGCTACCAAGTTCAACTTCACTCTTCTCATTCACTTGACCACATTCACCGGATAATGGGTGGTACAAGATATTTACAATGGGGGCCTTGGAGAGAGGTTCTACATAAAAACACACAAGTTATGTTATTGCAAAAATAATTCATATTCATGGTTATGAATGTAATAATGCATCATCACCAAACTCATTCGTTTAACTCAAAAGCCATACCTAGATTCTTCCTTTGCAAAAGTTGGAACTTGCGAGTGAAGTTGGGATCTCTCAAGTGGTGCCAAGTCTCATCCATTATACCAAATGACTCCTCAACTTGGACCGTGTCACTCTTTAAATAGTAGCTACCTTGAAAAGCCCACAAACCCCAGTCCAAATCTTTCCCAACAAGATAAGTTTGAAGGCATGTCAAGAACCTGTTGTCCTCCACTGAAGAACCTACCTCGTTAAACCCAAACTCTGTAAAAATCAAAGGAACTGCATTCTTGCCAGTTGTGAGGAATCCAGCTCTGTCCTCTATCCCTTTAATGTTATCGGCACATATCCTATTCACTGGTTGCTTTGTCCATATCTCTCTCAATTTCAGTGTTCCAATTCCAGACCATGAATACAAATGTGTCTCAAACACCATTTTCTTACCCAAATCTATCTTCAATGGTTTACTCTTTAAGAACTGCAACTCAGTATCATAATTCAATCCGGAGATAACCACAAGCACATTTGGGTTTGTCTTGTGTATAGACACTGCTGCTTTGCTCATGTACCTGTACCAGTCATACAAATTTTGGCGTGGACCATGCAATTCATTCCTCAAGCTCATTGCTACAATCTGTTACAGCATACACAAAATAATACTTTATATCCATTATCTTATTTAAAAGGCTAAGCAAACTATAATATAGATTGTTTGAGCAAAAGAGAAAAATACATACAACATGGTTTCCATTAAAGTGTTTGGCTGCCAGAGTAAGGCCATACACCCATTCTTGAGGATTAAAATGTCTATCATGGAAGAAACCGTTCTCATCATCGTCATTACAACACCACTTTGGCTCACTCACGTGGTTATCAAGTAACACTTTCACATTCTGAATCCCAAGTTCACGAACAACAGAATCAAAGACCTGAACATGTGTCATGGATAACACAAAAGGGTTGTTCTTGGCAATGCCTTGGACCACACCTGGTACATCCAAAGAGGTAAACGTGGCATTGACATTGTCGTGGACATAACGTGTCCACATGTAGATTGCGTAGGTGAGACGCACACAGTTAAACTTGTGCTCCACAATCTCACCAATGATATCCTTCAAGGGCCTTTTGTCAAGACCCTCAGGAATCATTGGTTGGAGGTGGCCAGCCCAATTGGCACATGCCAACTTCGCACGTTGTCCTGTGCCTTCATCTATGATCCATCTCTTTTGCGTGGATAAAGGATATGCATTCGAATGTGATGCGGAGATGAATACAAAAAGAACAAGGAAGAGTACAAGAACTCGAAGGTATTCTCAACATTTTTTTAAATGAATTAAAATTAACTTTTCAACTTGGAGAAGAAACCATGCAAATATATAGAATTTTCTACGGTAACAATTTTAACAAAATCTAATCATTAATAGATTCCACTCTTTCTATATTAACAAATCTTTGCTGAAACTCGAGTAACTTCTTTGTATTTTTATCATCTCGCTTGTTTTCTATTTAACAAAAAATAAATGATTTGTTGACAGACCTTCAAAAGAAACAACCTTTCAACATCTTTAATTATTAGTATAATATTAATAAATTGTTAAATATTTATATTTATTATTATAATTATATTATTAAATGGAAGATATTGGCATAATGTTTTGAATGTATTGAAATATCATTCCTCCTAAAAAATATTTTACATATAAGCAACAATATTTTGTTTGTTAAGCATAATATATAAATTAATTAAAATTTATATAGAATAAACATCTAAAATTTAATAAGTTAACTAATGATTAGGATGACAACTAAACTTATAGTTGCGAGGATCGATCCATCCCCTCCCAAGTTTGATGGAAAAAATCGATCAAAAACGGATTCGAGTTTTTTTCGCTTTAAAAAATCGGAAACACATACAAAGATGGATAAATAATGTCGAAATTATAATAAATAAACATAGATTCTAATAATACTAACTTCATCCTAATTCAAGTTATATTATATGCTTTGGAAATTTCTATACATATTTCCATAAAATTTAATATTCACAAATAATGCTAACAATTACACCAATTCGTCATTGAAGTAATTACCATATCTATTGAGTTTTTGAGTTTTCACTGATTTCATCATTAATTAATGATCACTAATTCATCATCAATTTGGTTAGTAAGAACAATATATCACTTGTCCCACGATGAACGTCAATATTCGACAAAAAAGTATTGGTTGGGGTTCTAGACTCTACTATTAGAGTTTTCATTGTTTTTTGTCTTTTTTTTTTTTTATGATGAATATTTTTTCTATTAACTCTCCACATTGATTATAGTGTCAGGTGTCGGGTAGCCACTCCACTTGTTTGGTCGTGACCGAGTGCTTGATAACTTCTTTTAGTTGCAAACATAGTTTATTGTCAATTGATGATTGTGGATTTTAGTTGTAGAGTCTTATAGGTCATATTTTACTTAAAACATTGAGATTGATCTCATATTGATTGATTAGAGAGATTGGTCTTTATACTAGCGATGTAATAAAATAATTCCTCAAACTTACAAGTGAAAATTAAGAGTCTAAAAGAATAAAGTTGATCTTTTGATGAATCAAAATAACAACACAGATATAATCATTTTATTATTATTATATAATAATAATAATAATATTTAAAACTAATTGCTTGTGAACACATCATTTTCTATAATATTAAAACAAAATATAAAGAAGTAATATAAAAGGATTTTGCAATACTATCTTAAACTCTTAAACCAGCTTGTCCAGAGCTACAAATTGGTGGTAACAAGCCGGAACCACCGGCTTTGAGGATCATCAAGACATAGAGAATCATTTTCTATGCAGATACATTTTGAAGTGACAATGGTGGATGAGTCAGAATCCTTCTGCAAGCAAAGTTGTTCCTCATGCTGAGTCATAGTAGCCAAGTGAAGTTTAGATAGTGATACAGATTTCCAAGAACTGTTCTTGCTTTCACAATCAGAAACTACAACCGGAAGCCCTTCACCGATTGCTGTTAAGCACTTCTTAGTGAAAGAATTAATGGTTGAGTTCAAGAGGGGGGGTGAATTGAACCTTAAAACTTTTTAACAAAACTTACTTTCTTTTGGAAGAATGAGTTATCTTTATTCAATCTTTGCAAAAGTAATTTGGTTTAAACACAGCACAATTAAAGACAGAAATTAAAAGAGATGAAAGAAGGATATTAACACACAAATTTATACTGGTTCACTCTAATCCAGAGCTACATCCAGTTCTTGACAACCCAGTCAAGTTCCACTAATACCAAGTGAAAATTACAACCAGTAGATACTCACCAATCTACCCCAAGAACTATCTTGCAAAACCCACAAGGCAGAATCTTGAAAACCACCCGAGTAACCAAATCCGAGTTCATTGTACCAAGTGCAAATTACAATCCAATCTGCACAATCAACTTTTACAAAAGAATATGGAAAGAAAAAACCTGGACTTGAAGTTTCTAATTGTCCAGAACCAATTCTATCGAGCACTTTCTCTCTTTGAATGACCACAATTCGATCACAGACACCTTATGATATGAAAAAGATTCTTGAATGCGAGAGAAAGTCACGTATGAAAGATTCACAGATTGATTTCACAAGTTTTCTCAAGTAGTGTATTGTATTGTGTATTTCAAAAGATAGATCAAATCTGTATATATAGAGTAAATCGAGAAAATCAGAAAGCTTCAACTTGTCAAAAGCTGTTTTAGAGAGACAAAAGATCGATTAGATTGAAGTAAAATAGTTTAGAAGAGACTCGATCGATTAGAAGCGAAGTATAATCGATCAGACCGAGTTATGATCGATTAGAATGAAACTATGATCGATCATACCGAGTTATGATCGATTAGAATGAAACTATGATCGATCAGAATATTATTTTAATCGATTAAAATATCGATTCAATCGATTGATTTCATTTAAAGCTCCATTCAATCGATTAAAACATCGATTCAATCGATTGATTTCATTTAAAGCTCCATTCAATCGATTGATTCGAGTTTTTAATGGATTGAAACAACTTAATGAAAATGACAGACTCTTCGTTTCAATCGATTGAAAGTCATTTCAACAGATTGAAATCCTGCAAACACTTAGTTACAAAAAATAGCCTCTCTGTTTTAATAGATTGAAAAATATTTCAACAGATTGATTTTCTAAAAACTCTTAGGCTGAAAAAGGTCTTTCTGTTTCAACAGATTTAAAAATATTTCAACGAGATTGAAAATGAGAAACTTGATATTGAAAATTCATTGAGTTATTTTAACTTGTTGATTCAGCGAATCAATCAATTGAAAATACGATTATGTATGATCACTTATTCTTTTAAGTAATTTTAGATTGAAACCTTTTCAGATTGAAAAACTTAGTTTGTTCTTTTAATACTTAGATGTTAGTTTTTCATGCAGAAAAATGATTTTCAATGGGATGCAACATTATAAGGTGCTTATCACAAAATATATTGTCCTATCAAGAGATTAAGTGCTTAAACTAAAAAACCTAATCATCTACACACCCACAACCTAAGCTATATCTATGTCTTCATCAAAACCACCAAGTGCTTGTCTTCATCAAATCCACCAAGTGCTTCAATCTCCCCCTATTTGATGGAGACAAATAACCACTGCACCTGCATAAAAAAAATAACAGACCAGAGACATATATTTTGTGGTGTGTGTGTAGTGACAGTTTTAAGCAGCAAAATACTTCTCCCCCTATTTGACTGCATCAAATAGAATGTTTTAGTTACAGTCCAATGGGGCCACGTGGATACCCCGAATATAAAACAGAACATTAAAAACTAAGAAAAGAAAACAGAATAACAGAAACATAGAAAATCTTCATTCGTCCCCGGGGCCTTGGTTGAATTGCAGTTCCACAATCCTGTTGTAAATGTCTTCTAGTTGATTATCAATATCTCTGGAACCTTGCAATGAAATTTTCATCCAAATAATGCTGCAGAGCCCTCGGAGCAGCGAGTCATCTCCATATGCCTCCTTTGGTCGGTTTGCGGTTCGCTCATTTGATGTAACATTGTTCTTTCGAGCCGAGACGAGGCGTGCCACGGTCAGGCGGTGGATTGTATGGAATCATCTCCATTGGGTTTACTTCTTCTTCCATTGGATCGGAAGGACGTGCTTGCGAAGTTCCAGGAATATCGGTGTTGATTCCTTCCTCTTGCTCTTCTTCTTCACTTTCTTCACTTCTCCCAGACATCTTCTTTCGAGATCCATTCACCATCAACTTTAATAAATCCCATTTTGTGAAGCACAGAGTTATTTATTTCATTTGTTGATCGGACGGTTTCAACAAGTTCTCCTTCAACATCGACACCAAAATGTGTTAAAAATTTAGAAATCGGAATAGCATAGGGATACACGAAGTCACTAAGTCTCTTGGCTTTGATCATGTGATCCTTGATGACAAAGACCCAGTTCACACGTATTCGTGATGAATGCGGTACATCGGAACTAAATCTCCTTCATTTAGCACCGCATGATTGCTCCCCCTGGGTGTAAGTCTGCCAGGAAGCGATGAAAGCGAGAATCCTTTCTTCCAGTTTCAACTTCCCAGTGTTGAATGAACTTACGAGAATCATGCCTATTCTTCAAGCAAGAGCGGAAATACTTGAACTTTATTAAATTCTTCAACATCCGAAGTACACCCTTTGGTGACTTTCACACCTACATCTTTTATTCCAGCAACTTCCTTCCGGACATTAGGTGTTATCTCAATGTCTACTCCTTTTACTTGAGTTATTAGAGTGGAACCTTCAAAGGACAAGTTAGTGAAAAAGACTTTAATTAAGTCGGGGTAAATCCTACCATTTAACTCCGAAACTTCGAAGCTTTTGGTGTTGCGGTAGTTTTCGAATGCCACTGAATCCTTCGGCATCAAACCAGGAGAACTTTAACATCTTTGGAATGTTGACTTGCTTCCTGCTCAATTCATGGATAAACAAATCCATTTTCTCTTGGTCCCCATTGAACCAAGTTTCAATCCTTCCTCCAACATTCTGTTCTTGCCTTGCGATAGAGGACTCGCCTCTGCTGGACTTCTTCCTACCGAGACTTTGTGCGCTTGAACATATTTGATTTTTGGAATGAGCGGAACGAGAG